TCTGCGTGTTAACAGCACCAAGAATCTGGACAGTTAAAATGACATTACAAAAAAATTACTTCTTCCTGGTGCGTGAAAATTTGCAGAGAGATGGAAAAATACTTGCAGAAACCAAATATGTCAATTTTAAGAATTTTTTTGTCACTTTTTGGTCCCAAAGAGCAGTGCCCCCTTAACCAGATTCTGGTGTATCCTTCATGCTACTTTTTCTGCTACGGGAACCCTGCTGAATGCAAAATGTCCGATCTGCTTCCACTTCTCTGGTGCCAGACACAATGCGCGCTGCTGTTGCAATCGTTGGTCATCCACTTCATCTTGAAAGAGAGACATGGCATCGTTTTGAAGGCAACGCTCGCCGGTTTTCTGCACCATACGATCCCCAGCCTGTTGCTACTAACATTCAAATCTGAAGGTTCAGCCGATCTCCATCACCTCAAGGTCTCCGATCTCTCTCGCCAATGATTCCTCGATCCACGTCCCCTGCGTGACCTGGGCCCTCAACCTCTGAAAGCTAGACCATGCAGCTCCCGTAGGTGACGCTGCATTGATGACCCGGTCTGCAAATTCTCTGTTGAGGATTCCTACACCCGGCATTAATTTGGACCTTTTGGTGGATGACATTACTGTTGCAGCCCTCATAGATGCTGGTGCACAAATTTCAGTCGTTAGCGCTGCTCTCTGTATTAAACTGCGCAAAGTGATCATGCCTCCTCTTAAGTGTGCAGTAATAGTTGCCGATGGCAGCACATCTATAGTTCTTGGCATGTGCACCTCTCGCGTGTGTATTGCTGGCTGTCAGACCGTCGTATTGTTCACCGTGCTTGAGCAGTGCCCACATGACGTGATTCTCGGTCTCAACTTTCTCTCGGCGCACTTCGCCCTAATCGACTACTCGACGGGCCTTCTTCAGCTGGAACTGCCTCTTGACGCCGGCGTTGCCCGTGATGCTCAAAGCCGCCTATGTGCTTCCGAGTTCCTCCACCTTCCACCGCAAGCCGCGACTTATGTGCAACTCTTGTGTGATCTGCCTGTGCGCGATGGTAACTATGTCGTTTCACCTATTACCGAGATAGTGTTAAAGCATTCTATTGCTATCCCGCTGTGATGCGGGTTCTTGTTGCTGATTTGTTTTTCTCCCGGGCTGAGCCTCAGAGAGTTTTGTTAATAAGGACAAAGCCGTTCGGTTTCCAAGAAACACACAAAAAGTTTAATTGAAAAGTAAAAAGGCAAAGATTCCTCACAAACTGGCGTCCACTGTGGTGAGAGTACACCACTACCAGACCTGTTTGTCTTTTTTGAACTTTGTGTCTCCGCGCACATGCTGCCCGCCAATAATAAACTAAGCATCGTGTCGTCATTGCAAGAGTGCAATATCTTTGAACTGCCTGCTGAACAACCTACTTCGTATGTCAACTTGTTCACTGCGCCCAACCTTTCAAACATTCACATTGGCAAAATGATAGCGCCAGATCTTTCACCCTCTCAAGCACAAGATCTCCACCGTTCCTTGACATCCTATGCGTACATATTCGATCTTGACAACTGCCCTTTAGGCAAGACATCAGTTGTGACCCATCACACCAACACGGCTGATGCCAACCCATTTCATCGCCGCCCTTACCATGTCACCGCTGGCGAACGCTCTGTCATCCAGAAGGTTATCGAGAAAATGCTCGCCAAAGGCATCGTCAAACACTTATCTAGTCTGTGGGCATCCCTTCAGTGTAGCGCGCGTGCGGCCCCGGACATCTAAGGGCATCCCTGGTCGTGCTTGTCAGGTAGGGGGACAATACATGGCGGTATTGCTTTGATTATAGACATCTCAACATGGTCAATGAAGGACGTTTACCCCTTACCATGAATAGATGATGCCCTTGACTGCCTTCGTGGGATTAAGTTTTTCTCATCCATTGACCTTTCTGGTTATTGGCAGTTCGCTATTGACTCAAGGGACCGAGAGAAAACCGCATTTGTAACCCCCGATGAGTTATACCTATTTAAAGTAATGCTGTTTGGGCTTTGCAATGTGCCAGCCATCTTTGAGCACATGATAGATTTTCTTCTGCGCGCTTCAAGTGGTCTACTTGCCTGTGCTACCTAGGTGATGTCGTAGTTCTTTCACCGAGCTTTGCGAGCCATTTTGAGGGATTGTCCACTATTTTCCAAGTATTCCGCAACACTGGTCTCCAGCTGAACTGCTTTAAATGCCATTTCGGCCGTCTTGACATAACTGTACTTGGTCACCTCGCTAACGCATCTAGGGTACAGCCTGATCCGAACAAAATTCGTGCTGTGACTCGATTTCTCATACCCTCTTCTGCTAAGGATGTTCGCAGCTTTCTTGGTTTGTGCTTCTATTTTCGCTGCTTCATCCGAAATTTCGCTGATATTGCACGGCTTCTCACTGAGGTTCTGAAAAAAGACGTCTCTTTTACTTGGAATCCGCTTCAAAGTTTTGCATTTTCGGCACTCATTGCAGCCCCCACATCTATGCAAATATTAGCCCACTTCGATCAGACCACGCCGACAAAAGTTCGCACTGATGCGAGTGGCCATGGAATTGGAGCTGTTTTAGCTCAGCATCAGCATGGACGTGACTGCGTCATCGCCTACGCCAGCTGCCTTTTGTCCCCTGCAGAGAAGAACTATTCCATCACTGAAAGAGAGTGTCTTGCTTTTGTTTGGGTTGTTGCTAAATTTTGCCCGAACCTGTCCGGCTGCAGTTGTACTGTTGTAACGGACCATTATGCGCTCTGCTAGTTTTCATCACTCAAGGATCCCATGGATCGCCTAGGTCATTGGTCTGTATGCTTGTTCTCAATCGTTTATAAATCTTGTCACCTTCATCAGGACGCCCACTGCCTGTCACGGTATCTAGTGGATCCGCCAGGCGCCACAGAGAGAGCTACTGAGGCTTGCGTCTAATCAATATCAGATTTTCTTGATATCACTTCTGAACAACGCCGCAACTCGGTATTACTTCCCGTCATACAAAGCCTGGGTTCCGCTACTCTACCCACTTCTCTGAACTTGTATTCACTTCACGAAGGGGTTCCCTACCGGCACAACATCCACCCCAATGGTCCTGACTGCGTTCTCGTCGTACCTTCCCAGTTGCGTGTAGATGTTCTTTCACAGCTTTACAATGAAGCTACCACCGGTCACCTGGGAGTCACCCGACACTTATGATCACGTTGGGCGCCATTTTTTTTGGCCACGCCTCTATCGCTCTGTGCAAAAGCATGTGGTCAGCTGCGACCTTTCGAAAACGACCAACAATGCTTCCAGCTTCCTCCTTCACCCTATTGAGATCCCTGCTGAACCATTCTACCACGTAAGGCTCACCCTTCTCAGGCCATTTCCCACTTCTGCATCCGGGAACAAATGCGTTGCCATATTGACCGACTACTCGATACGTTACGCAATCACCAGCCTTCTCCCAGCCAGCTGCACTTCCAATGTCGCCGACTTTGTACTGCATGACATCACTTTGCATCACGGTGCTCCTCTACAGCTGGTCACTGACCAAGGCCGATACTTCTTATCTAGCATTGTCCAGGATATCGAACATTCTTGTTCCACGAACCACAAATTCACAACGGCATACCATCTGCAAAATAATGGACTTACAGAGCGCCTGAATCGCACTATCACCAACATGTTACCGATGTGTGTTTCTGCAAACCACCGTGACTGGTAGGCAATGTTACTTTACGTCACCTTCGCTTATAACTTTTCAAGACATGACGCCGCAGGCTTTTTTTTCCTTCTGCATTCTTTGTGGCTGTTATCCCTCTCTGCTCTTGACACACTCATTCTTGCTGGTTCAAGCTTCCCTGTCACATACGTTCGCGATGCCATAGAACAAGCCGACGTAGCACGACAGATCGCCAGAGAATGGCTCATACTTTCTCAAGCCTCTCAGAATGACTAGTACGATCACCACCACCACCGTGATTTTTCGTATACACTCGGTTGTGGCTTTCATGTTGTCGCATCGGCCTTTCTGAATAGCTTTTATTTCACTGTGACGGACCCTGCAAAGTCCTGTGCAAGGTCAGTGACCTCACCTACGAGATACAGCGAGTTGTCGATACAGCGCACTGAACGCCACCACCATATACTGTTGTGCACGTTGTAAGACTGAAGCCGTATGGGTCACCCTCCACTTCCGTGAGGAGCGCCGAGTCGGCGCTTTTACGTCGCGGGGCAGTGCCACAAGGCAGTAGTGGGATTGGGGCAAAAAGCGGTAGAGGGTCCCTGTCTGGAGGGGACCACTACGAAGTGGGTCGAGACTGGTCTCAGCCCATCAGTGTGCCAGCCATTGTCATCGCATGCAAATATCTATAAATATACGCTTTCTTGTACGAATATATTCATTTAACCATGAAGTAGCGCTTCGCAGCAATGCGGATTTCTTCTGTATACATGTTTTCATGGCTCAGCACTAGGTCACTGCAGTGAAACCACTTTTTAGGAAGTTACATGGGAACTAATGCATACTTAGATAAATGTTTTGACGGCTTAGCAACCTTTTATTGCTGTGAAACTACATTTACAGGGCGTTACATGCTGACTAATATGAATTTATTTGTTCATGTCGAATAAATAGAAGTTTTCAGTAATTTAAATTCGATTCAGAGCGAATTCAAGTACTGCATTATTCGTTCGAATATTTGAAGCATCCAAGTATTCACACAAGCTTAGTATTTGCCAACCAAAGAGCATAGGTTAGGTGTAAGTGCCCATGCTGCATATGTATGTTCTTTACGGAGCACTCGTAGTTGAAAGGCAGGCGCACAACTGACCTATCATGCCAGCAACCATGAGCAGCTGTGTTTTACTTACGAGAGCATGCCAAGGCATGCTCTCGCAGATCTGAAGGAAACGGGCAATGAGTGTGCCACCAAACTAGGGGCTGTCAGGATTAAAATAGCATTGCATTACATGGTCACAGCATTCTAGACTGTGCCGAACCAATGAGTGGCACTCTTTTGCAGGATAAACTGGAGGCCGAAGCTGAGCAGTGTCGCCGGAAGCAGCAGGAACTGCAGACTCAGCTCGTGGCCACTGCTGGCGACCTCAGGCGGCATGAAGCAGCTCGGAAACGACTTAGTGCAGGTGTGTGCGTCATGCTCGACCTTGGCAGTAACATAGAAACTGAGCTTCATGGCAGGGATTACTGCTTTGTTGTGGCAATCTGGAATCACGAAACTGATGCTTTCTGATTGACCTGAAGCTTAGGAATATTGCCATCTTATGTGTTTTATGTACTGCTGACAGTTGAACTTGCCTATGACAAACCTTCATACCACAAATTCCTTGGTATTATGAAGTTCTTATATTTCCTGCAATTTCTTCGTGAAATCACTTGTATGTGTGACCTATATGTAAATAAACAAGAAATTTCCCATCATTGACCACTTGTTGTTATGCCCCCCATTTTGTCATTAGAGCTTGAGCAGCAGCCAGACTTGCCTTCCATGGTTGCCTGCCAACGGCTAAGTGTGAAGTGGCCGCATATGCACGGCACAAATCTTGAAACAAAGTTGCAGCAACAGCACGCGCTCATGCATGTGCTTGCAGTTGTACATGAGCTGGCTGTCTCAAAATTCACTCACTTGAAAGTGGTAAAACTTCACTATAAATTCACTCGCTTCGCCACCCAAGTGGCTGAAAAATTGTGTAGCGATGTTAATGTGAAAAACTTGAAGTGAGACTGATTTTTCAGCAGTGCAACAGTGGAAGGCCTCACAGAAAGTGGGGCTGTACTTCAGCTGCACTAGCATAAACCATGTGATGTAAATGCCAAGCTGCAAATTCAAAATGATGGCTTGAGTCAGTGGTGTTTCTCATTGGCTCAGTTCCATGCTACCCATGCTGCACATCAAAACTCATGGCCACTATAACGATGTACCTCTCAGGATACTCATTTAATTTAAAATTACTGAGGAGACTGGAATTGGCAGCTGTCGCAGCAGCAAGTTATCTCACTTCCATACATTAGGGTAAATCCGCCCTGCTGCTTCCAGCATGCCCATTTATGTAGCTTCTGCTAGTGTGTTTTCTGAAACAACGGCTTGAAAAGGCACTAACTATTACTTTTGTGTTTTTTGTATGCATAACTTTGGCACAAAATAAACAATGGAAAATGGGCACAGTGGCGTGCATTCTTTTCATTTCTAAATGGAGTTGGTAGAGGTAGCATAAGCACCTGGGGCTTGAAGTGATGGTTGAGCAAATGTGAATGTTGTCAGCGCAAGGGTGCACGGATTTCGAAATTCTTAGTCTTTGGCGCAGCGCTGTGCTCATGTGAGGAGCCGGCTTCTGTATCCATACATCCACTGACATTGGAGAATCATTGCAAGGATGAATGCCTCAACAAAAAAACTCCAATATTTGACCACGAACTCAACACTACTCATTCAGCCCCTTAAGAGAGGATTTATCAACACCACGAAGTGCTCGTACCGGCATGGACTTATCACATATGAAGACTAAACGTGAAGAGGCGTAAGGCCCGCCTGATTTTGCTGAAGCTTGGTTTTCACTACATAGCAGTGTGATACGATGTGCAGCTTCATGACTTTGTGTCTATGGAAAACTACACTGTCTTGTCAGTAGATGGGAAGATCATGGCAACTGTTATGAACGTTCGGAGGTTGATGCATCACGCGCATCGCCTTCAACAACGAAAGTGCACATTGACGTTGTGCGCCTCGTCATAAACTTGCTAGACGATGACAGACCAGCATCGTGTGCCAGTATGTACTTTGAACATTCACTGTTACCGTCCTTCACAAACAAGCAACAATGAAAGCAAATCAAGGGTGTTTTGCCTCTAAATATGAATGCTTTGGGCGAGATCTACCCTCAGTTTCTCGCTTGTTTAATTTGTCTTGGTAGTAAACATTTGACATAAGTCTGTCGAATGTATTTCTTTTTCAGTTTTTTTATTTGAAGTGCATATAACGAAAACGATCATATCACAAAAGTTTTTGGGAATTGGCCAGTTTTGTTGTATCTAGGTTTAATTATAACCAAATTTATGTAATCTAGCTACAAATGTTTTTGTTATTAAAATAGGCAAGTTAGTGAGAACTAACAGAGATTAATGCCAAGGAAAGTATGGTAAATGTTACTTGTAGTCATTAAACACAATTTGGTATGCTTAAGTGTGTGTTGAAGTACTTTTCATACCGACAAATAATTTCTTTCTGAGATATGTCAAAACTTATCATTTTCTCGTGGTAACGAATAACCTAAGTGAAGCCCTAGCTTGGGCATTTGGAATCATTAGGATTTTATGATCAGTTAATTTTATGTTTGAAGTGAATAGATATTTTGTCGAATAATTTCGAATGGAATTCAAATGATACATATCACATATTGTAAAGAAAATTAGCATATTTGTCATTAACCAACAAACCTGCACTATTTAATTTTTTTTAATTGAAATGGGGTGTGTGCAATTCTTAATCTGACTCAAACCTCGGGAATAGGAGTCTTGCAAGGTCTCCAAAAAATATTCATATAATTTGAAATTTGCGTCACCAGAAAAAATAGAAAATATACATGCTACAAAAGAAAGCGTCATTTATTGTTTGTCAGGGCCGAAGCAGCGTAATAACGAGGTCTGAGTGATTGCCACTTATGTTTTTCGACGTCAATGATCATACTTGCACTCGTAAATATACCACCCTTGTGTGTGTGTGTGTGTGTGTGTGTGTGTAATTAATGCATCAGGAGTGCTAGCCGTGACAGCCTGTAGCGATTTGCCAATTTTCGTATGCTTTTTCACATGACATCAGAGTACTGCGGCGAAAGTGACTTCAGAAGCGCTTTGCACGCGATAAAGGCATGAAAACATGAGAACCACTGTCTTTTTTGTTATTTTTTTATTGCAAAAAAGTGTTGCATGTTGAATATCAATTTAAGGAGTCAGCTTTATAATCTGAAAATTTTGAGTGGTAATAATTGTCTTAAATTTATACGAGCTATTCATTAGAGCTGTTGCTTGGAGTTGGGGAAAAGTTATTGCATAAAAAGTTATTTCTGAAAGTCCGCCGCATCTATAAAATGTAGAGCTGGCCTTTTCAGTCAGTTTCCTACAGATTTGGTTTTGTTTGTACATTATATCAGACAAAGGGTCGCATCCAGTGTTACTAGTTTCTCCTATGGCGTGGTCGTCAAGCGCGCCTGGGTGCGTACCTGCTCCATGAAAAATGCTTGCTGCTTGAAACTGTCTTGCAACTGCACCTGAATTGAGTAACAATGAGCTTTGAGTCCGAAAATGACAGCATTTTAGCTTTAAAGTCTCGTGGCGAAGTTGTTTTGCATCAGCCTGGAACATGTAGTCATTTAGCGTGTTAGTTTTGTATACGGCCTCAAGTGGCCTCCTGCACCTCAAGTGCGGAGCTTCTAAACCTTTTGCCTAGTCTTAGATCTACTCTGGTTATGTGTGCGGTCCACATGTCGCTGGGGTGCAATGTGCTTGTTCCGGCTGCTGAGCTTCTCCTCACGACAAACAGACTAGCGGACCCTTTGCTACAGAGCGGCATGAGACATTTTAGGACGTGGCATATTGTCTTTTTTTTTTTCAATACTGTTTGCAAAAATACAAACAAATATGCTTGAATGCATATATTTCAAGTCAATCAATGCAGAGGGAGGTGAGGTGGCTCATGGAAAGAGGTTATGCTAGACGAACTAGTGAACTTCATTAGATGTTTAATTTATTGATGGAATGTTCATATCACAGGCATCCGTCAATATTGGAACATCTGCAGGCTCTTATAATAATGAAAAAAAAAAATTTAACAAGAAATGTGTACCAGCGCTCTTATGTCTCACGGAAAAACCAAAGAATGTTTCACTGCATGGCAGGAGCAATGAAGCAACACATATGTTCAGATTTTCTTTTTCTATGTCAATAGAAACATTGCGTAGGATGCTAATAATTATTTTTTTATACTATTCCCGGGTTGTTTATTTCTGAAATTTCTTTGTTCTGATTATTTTTTCGTATATAGTAGGGTTTTTTAATGCACTGTTTATCCAGCTCACAACCAAAATTGTGACTTTTCACATTTTTATTCATTCTAGAATATTTTTGTTGTGCTACATTATATATTTCAGAATAGAGCATTTTATTGTCAATAATTTTATATTCTGTAATGCGTTGTGCAGTAATTACGAAACAGGCCAGGGCTTTCTTTCTGAGGCATTTGAAAAATAGCCATTTTCTCACGGTAATGAAAGAGTTAACCGAGAAATGTGACTTCGCAGCAGTGCAGATTTTTGCAGGTTAGGAGTATTCAGGGCATACCAGCCCTTTACTGCAGCGAAACCACATATACAGGGGGTCACATGCAGACTAATATACATCTACCGTATTTACTTTTATAGTCTTTGCACTTTTTTTCATGGAAAACTGATGAAAAGTTAGTGACTGTGAGACTTGCGTGAGGAAAATTTTTCACAAAGATGTTCGGAGTAGGGCAAAAAATAACTGAAGTAGCCGCAAATCAGGATTCTCACTCTAGCAACTAAGTACAAGCTTTGAGAAGTACTAATGAAGACTTACCGTGACCACAGGCCACGAGACATCAACACATTGCAAGATTTCTTTAAAGCACAAAATCTGCAGGCAAATAAAGCAAAACGGAGACAGGATCGAGTTGGTACTGATTCATTAGTGACGTAAAAGTAGCATAAAAAGGACGAGGACGAGGAAGTGAACACCACAGACGCTTAAAAACAACTGAAAGCTTTATTGCTTGAACAGAAAATATATACAATCTAAATTTGATGCTCTACTAAATTACGTGCTTGTGCATCGTGGGCGAGGCAAGAACCAAAACAATAACACACCTCCTGCAGCCCCCCCCACCTACAGACTACTCCCTTTTCTTGAGTAGTCGCACTTTTTTTTTGAAAAGACAAAAGAAGGATCGCTAACACGCATAGAAGCACTCGTGTTATTATGAAAACCCTCAGCAAGTTCTCGTGTAATGCGATCATGGTTTTTAAACAAGATCTCCATCTCGGAGAATGATCGGGCCAACTGACGACACTCTTCAGCGTGTTGCACAATTTCAGAGAGAGGGTTGAACTCTGAG